TAGAATGAAGGTAACTAGGAACTTTTTCGTCTAAGAACTTTATTTATTATGTTATATTTAAATTAGAGTTTGACTGCTATTTGATTTAAATAGGTACAAGTTCTTTAGCATAAAGATCTGGGTTGATGTTAAATTTGTCTGTTTTTCTAGTATGTTTGGATTAGTTAATCATAAATTAGAGCTTTGATTATATTGTAAATTCTTTAATGAGTTCGAATTTATTAGAAATTAATATTATATTTGCTCACTTTACATATCTCTATATATTTTTTAATTGAATATAGTGAATTCTTTCGTGTGTATATATTAGCTTATAGGCTTCTTTATAATTTTTTTTCATTTTCTAGCAGTGTTAGAATGATAAATTTTTTTAAAAATTATGTAATTTGATTGGTTAATAATCACGAGAAATCACAGGTAGATCTATAAAAATTAACCAATCAAACGAACTTCTGTCTATAAGTAGGACCGTGATTAGAAAAATTATAAAATAATGATCTAATAGTTGCATGTATTAGACTGGCTTGTCCCTGTGACAAGTTCGTTAAACATTCTATCATTGCACGTGAGTGCTCTATAAAAGAATTAGTATCACGTGGCTTGTTATATCTGTATTCAAAGTATATATAAATTACTGCATATATTTGTTGTTATCTATCTAATTTGAGAAATAAACAATACTGACTGTTTTGATTCATGTAATATTGATCTTTTGGAGATAATAAGCTAAAACATCTACTTTTTATAAAAATTTCTTTAAAAAAAAGTAGTAAACTAATAAGAGAATAAGAGTTTCTTCTGTAAGTTTTATAGTTGTATAGTATATACATTTCTACAGATTTTTACTATCTTTAGAGAACTTGTTTTCAGAATAAACCTTTTGGTTTGGATACTAAATATTTTAAGAAGTTCACTGACATAAGAAAGTTTAACTCAAGAAAAACTAACTTGTTTGTTTACTTCTTAGTGTTTTATATCTTTTAGGTTTCATTAATAACAGTTTGCTTTGAATAAACTTGTTCCTAAAATAAACTTTTTGGTTTGGATGCCAAATATTCTAGAGAGTCTATCTACAAGAAAAGAAACTTAACCTCAGAAAAAATTATCTATTTAATGCCTGCTTCTTAGTATTTCATATTTTTAAGGTTTTGTTAACAACAGTTTATTCAAGATAGAACTAAAGATAGTAACTGTCTTGAAGATTCTTATAGCATTTTCTATAGTTTAGTTTTAATTGTTGTTAGCCAAAAGATTATCAGAGAGAGTTTTAATTTTACTATTGATTTGTACTAGTACTTTTAGGTCTGGTTCAGGTCCAGTCTGATTTAGGTTTAGTCTGAAATTAGATATGACACTACAATGTTCAAAACCGGTAGACCTTCTTCCAACAAACCACAACAAAAATACATACACAAACCCAGAAGAGGAAATGGGGAAACCACACCAATAGAATTGAATTATGCTAGAAATTCTTCAAGTAATTACAAGCATGAAAAGAACAGGCAGAAAGGAAATTGTTTTAAGTGCGGGTTACCAAGATATTATACAAAAAATTGTAAATCCAAAAATAAATCTAAACTTACCAATATAGAAGAGAAAGCAAAACCAACTTCACATAATATTACAAACAATAGTTTGAAATTAACACAAGTGGAAGAAAATCATAAACAATTGTTAAGGTTTTACGGCAAAATCGATAGTCACCCGGCTTGGATTCTACTAAATAACAGAGCTTCCTGCAATTTTATTAACGAAAATTTCATAACCTGCTATAAATTAACTCCAAAAACTATTTCTTTTCTTATAGTTGAATTGGTAGACAGCTAGAAAGCCAATACCAACAAAGCGATTGATATTATAAAACTAGAACTAGGCCTTTACCATATCTCTGATATTTCTGCGCAAGTCTTAAAACTTCAATATTATGATGCCATACTTGATAAACCTTAGTTGTATCATGCTAACCCCAACATTAATTAGAGGAAAAATATCTTGGTTTTTTAGTATAGGTTTAAAACAATTGAAGTCCAAGCAGACCCCCAGAATATATATAAAGAACATAATTGTAATTCGGTATTCATCTCTTGGCAACAATTAGCTAAAGTACCTAGTAGTGAAGAAATTTATACTATACATGTTAATAAAAAAGATAATAGAAACACCAGCCACCCACCACCCGAAGTTCAAAAGATTCTCCAAGACTTTAAAGAAATTTTCCCTGAAACCTTACCAGACTACCTGCATTTAGAACAAAATATCGACCATACTATTAACCTTGCATCAGAGTCAGAACCCTCATTTTGCCCCATATACCGAATGTTCTATGAAGAATTGGACGAATTAAAGTGTCAGCTAGCTGATTTGCTAAAGAAAACTTTTATCTGTCTTAGCACCTCCTCTTTTGGCACCCCAGTCCTTTTCGTTTATAAAAAAGAAAGAACCTTAAGATTATATATTGATTACCGGGCCTTGAATAAAATTACTATTAAAAATAGGTATCCACTCTCACGTATTGACAAATTGCTAGACAGGTTGGTTGGTGCTAAATATTTTACAAAAATTAATTTGTACTCTGAATACCATCAAATTCGGTTTAAGGAAGAAGATATTTCTAAAACTGCCTTTTATACCCACTATGGTCATTACGAATTTCTTGTACTGCCCTTTGGGCTTACAAATACATCCGCCACATTCATGATCTTGATGAATAACATTTTTAGAGAATATCTTGATAATTTCATTATCGTATATCTTGATGATATCCTCATTTATAGTAAAACAAAACAAGAACATATACACTACTTTCAGAAAGTCCTAGAAATTTTAAAAGAAAACAAACTCTATGCCAAGATTAGTAAATATGAATTTTTTAAGAAAAAAGTTGAATATCTTGGTCATTACATATCTGCAGAGGGACTCTTGGTCGATAATAGAAAAATTGCTGCTATTCAGAGTTGGCCTGCACTTACCAATATAACCGAAATTCGCTCGTTTCTTGGGTTGGCTAGTTACTACAGGAAATTTGTAAAAGGATTTTCATCTATTGCTATGCCTTTACAAAATTGCTCCATAAGGACCAATCTTTTAAGTGAAAACAGTCTGAGAAAGCTGCCTTTGAAACCTTGAAATATCAACTTATTTCCGTCTCCGTCCTTATTCTCCCTGACCCTACCAAACTCTTTTCTATCACCACTGATACCTCCGATCTTTCAATTAGTGCTGTTCTTAGCCAAGACCACAGAAAAGGTGATCAATCAATTGCCTATGAGTCAAGAAAGTTGTCTTCCGCTGAATTAAATTATCCTACACATGAAAAAGAATTATTAGTCATTGTTCATGCCATTAAGTTATGAAGACCATATATCAAAGAGCGTAAGTTTACTGTAATCACCGACCATGTATTCTTGGAATATATCAAATCCCAACACCAACTCTCACGAAGGCAGGCTCGATGGTTGGAAGTCCTACAGTCAATGAATTTCGAAGTTAAATATAAACCAGAAAAAACTAATGTTGTTGCAGATGCCTTGTCATGACGAACACACTTAAATAATATTATTACAGTTTCAGCACAACTTACGGATAAAAAATTTCTTGAACGGGAATATTTTAAGAATCCATATTTTTTCTCGATACTAAAAATTTTAAAAGAAGATTCAATTAGTAATATCAAACAACAAGTACAGGTAAAACATTTTGAATTAGTAAATGGAAAGGTATACTTAAAGGAAGAATCAAGATTGGCAATTCTAGCAAACAAGGAGTTAAGAACACAACTACTTTATGAACACCATGATGTTAAAATGGCAGGATACCTGGACATAGACAAAACCTACAAATTGATTAGTCAAAATTACTTTTGGCCAAAACTCCATAAAGATATAAAAAAATATGTGGGTAGCTGCGACTAGTGTCAAAGAAATAAAGTAATAACCAGCAACCTACTGGCCTTCTACAACCCCTAGCCATCCCCAAGGAATGCTGGAAACAAATTACCATGGATTTTATAGTCCAACTCCCCTTAACAAAAAAAGGATACAATGCTATTCTAGTGTTCATTGACAAGCTAACAAAACGTATATATTTTTGCCCCACCCATACTACAGTTATGGCCCCTGAAGTTGCTAAAATTTTCTTCTTTACTATCTTTAAGAACCATAGATTGCCGAAAGTAATTATATCAGATAGAGATGCCAAATTTACTAGCAAGTTTTGGCAAACTTTTTTTGATTAACTAGAAACTAAATTAGCCATATCAACAGCATTCCACCCACAAACAGATGGACAGACAGAAAGCATGAACAGAATATTAGAAGAAATGTTAAGAATATATTCAACATACAAACAAGATCAATAGGACGAATACCTACCAGCTACTGAATTCGCTTATAACAATTCCAAACAAGCATCGACGGGTTTTACTCTTTTTGAGTTAAACGTGGGACAACATCCCAATACCCCAACATCACTAGCAGCTAAAACTCCAACCCATGTACCAGCAACAGACAACTTCCTCAAATACTGGAATAATATGATCAAAGTAGCAAAAAACATGTTAACTATTACTCAACAAAAACAAACTCAACATGCAAATAAGAAGCGTCATCATCTCGAGTTCAATATAGGTGATAAAGTACTACTATCAACAAAAAATATAGTTAGTCCAACTGACAAACAGAGACCTACAAAGAAACTATTACCTAAATATGTAGGACCCTACTTAATCACTAAAATAATCTCAAAAGTGGTCTGCAAACTTAACTTGCCTAACGAATAGAAAATCTATCTAGTATTCTATATTTCTCTGTTAAAACCATACAAAGAATCAAAAAACTTCGCTAGATCAGTATCCCCACTTGCGATCTTTATACCTGGGACTCAAGAAATGGAATATGAGATCAAATCTATTCTAGATCAAAAAGTAGTAAACAAAAGAAAATATTATTTAGTAAAATAGATAGATTACTCATTGCATGAAGCAATATAGAAATTCTTAGATAATTTACGT